CTATGTAAGAATGAAAGGTTCATGACTAAAAAATCTTGGAATTGACAATACTGGTTTCAAGACTGACATTTTAATAAAATATTAATATTTATAAATGTCTACATTTTGGTAGTTGATAAAAGTAAGTGTTATTTCTTTCTGGTATTAAACATTTTTCTCTTCTTGGCAGAAATCGTGTACACTAAATTATGTAGCAGAAATGTGTCTGTTACAGTTTCGAATCATTCAACTTAGTGTGTGCACATAACTAGTGCCTTTATATTCCATCTGCATGGACAGTTTGCCCCTTATCTATTCCCAATAATTATTTTCTCACCTCAGTCAGCAGCCTGCTTATAGTCAGCTGTATACTCTTAAGTCATTTGAACAAAGAGGCCTTTTCTCACCAACTCATCATAAATAGCAACCTCTCCCTGACCATCCACTTGCTTTATTTTTTCATAGCTCTTCTCACCACAGGACAGGGTGTGTATAACTATGTGTACTGTATAATTTCACCCCACTAAAGTATAAGCTCCATGAAATAGGCATTTTTGTTTGTTTTGCACATTAACACATAGTGAGATACATAGTTTACCCTGGTACATAGTGGGTTCTTAATAAATATTGGCTGAATGAGTGAATGTCTAGGACTGTGGATATAACATTAGGCCTGCCTACCCCAAGTACCCTAGATCTCTCTTTCACTATTCCATCATAAAATCTGTTTGCTGTGGTTATTGTGGAAGGGATGTGAAGAACTAAATAATAACGCAAAGGCTTTCTCAATGTACGCTTTAAAAATGGTAAAATATAGTGGTTACTAAGGAGTTGGAAATAATTATTGAAGAGCTGTTATACTAGAACTGACTTTTATGACCAAGATTTTACTTTTTCTACAAGGGCAAACTTCCCAGAAGAAAGAAGATGTACAGATGGAGTGAGAAGCAGCCTGGTACATTAGGGGGACTTCAAATGGTGGTTTGAAAATGAGGAGGCTGAGGTGGAAGTCAGGGTTTATATCCTGAGAACAGAAGACCAAAAAAAAAAAAGCACTTTAACCTTCAACTTCAAATCCTCTGAAGATTAAAGTTTGGCTTTATTGGTAATAGTCAAGATTATAGGTTTAAATGATAGATCCATTCATTTTTTGTGTGCAATTTAATATAAAGGATGTGAAAGAAGTAGTGCATATCATGGTGATTTATTAATAGAGTGGGGGCTTGTGACGGAACTGGCTCAGCCAGGAGGCAGGAACCTCATCCTGTCATGCTGACTACTGAGTGGGCACCTTCAGATTCAAATCCCATTCATTTTTGCCCAAATCAGGGGTTACAGGGAAGGTAATAAGACTAGAAGTGAAATATGGAGAGATTGAAAGAGCTTTATTTGTTTTTGAACTTCAATGCTGTGGTTGTCATGGAAGGAATGTAAAAAACTAAATAATAATGTGAAGGCTTTCTCAATTTTTTTGAATTGCTCTAGTAACTTTTAAGCATTTATGCACTTAGTCTATATAATATTGACCAGTACATTTGATTTGTATAAGTTATAAGTTTTTGTTTATATAAAATCTGTTTCTTTAATAAGCCCCCAAAATTATGACTTTTAATTCTTTTCTATCACTGTACAGAGCTCAGGATCCTACTCTGGAGTCCAATATTTAAAAAAATAATATTAATAACTGTGGAAATAATTTTTTCTTGACTAGATACAATCAACTTTTTAAAAGATGTATTCTTCTTCCGTTGAAAAGGGGAGTAGCAAAATACAGTTGGCCATGTTTTTCTTGACAAATTTTTACTGGAAGACAGCATGCTCACAAGTTTAGCTATTGTATATGAACACGTTTTTACAACACAACACAGTTGAGTAGTTGTGACAGAAACCATGTAGCCCTCAAAGCCTCCAATTTTCCTATCTAGCCCTTTACAGAAAAAGCTTGACAACTCTGATTAAAGGAATTCACTTCAAAACTAGATAAAATGATTTTTCACTTCTACTACTGACCTTTTTTCAAATCAATTCTTCTACTAAAACAAAAACAAAAAAATATAGCACAATAAAGACTTAAGGAATTACCAAGGTAACTAGAGCTTAATAAGCCAAAACTCCAGAGAGAAGAAAATCTCAGAATGATAAACACAATACTCAATACTATTTTTCTCAAAAAGTCAGTTGCCTAAACCAAAACTGTTATCAAGAAGCTGAATAGAACTATAGCCAGTCTAATTGGACTAGGGATACAAAACATGGAATTCAGGACATACCAAGGAAGAGGGGCCACAGACAGTATAAGATGGCTGAAAGGCTACAGCCCTGAGAGAAGAGGTTAACAGAAAAGCTCTACAAAGTGTAGAGCCCAGAATAAAACCAGTTTATCGTCTGACTAAATTAAAGTGAATATTCCCTAACTTCTCTGCCTGCCAGAAGCAACAATAAAAATTATCTGGAAGAAGAGAACATCATCTAGGTCCTCAAACTCCCTCTAAACAACATTTACCAAGCAATCTATAATAATAAAAGCGTAATATGCAAATTGATCGAATGACCAAACAACAGAACGACTGTCTGGACCAGCCGTGGGCAAACTATTGAAATGAATAAAACTAAAAAAAAAAAAAAAAAAAGTACCCTTTTATTTAATGATGTTTACTTTGAATTTATATTAGTTCACACAAACACTCCATCCATGCTTTTGTTCCGGCCCTCCGGTCCAGTTTAAGAACCCATTGTGGCCCTCGAGTCAAAAAGTTTGCCCACCCCTGGTCTGGACGATCTTCTGGACGACCACACTATGACATGCACTGGCACCAGGCCAGCCAAGGCAGGTGCAATGTGATTGATCAGGAGGCTCTGCCATCACCCCATGATCACCCTGCAGAGGGAGGCCCAGGCCACCCTCTGTGGAGTGATCAATGGGGAGGGGGGATGATTCTGCAATGGATCACCCCAAAGAGGGAGGCCCAGGCTACCCGGCTGGCGGTGCCTCACAGAGAGAGGCCCAGACCAGCCAAGAGATTGCACCCCACACCTGTCGCCCGCTGAGGGAGGCAACCAGTGGGGGTGGGGGAAGGTGCAGTGCCACACAGATGACAAGCAGTGGCAGTGGCGGGGGTGGGACCAGCTTTCGGCAGCCAGGGGAAGGAAAGCCCCAATAGACCCTTATCGATGGCCAGGCCTAGGGACCCTACCTGGGGGGTCCCAGATTGTGAGAGGGCACAGGCTGGGCTGAGTGACACCCCCCTCCCCATGCATGAATTTCGTGCACTGGGCCTCTAGTCAAGAATAAAAAGACATGCAAAAAGACAATAATTGGACAAAAATCAAGATTAATGGTAGATCATAGAAACAGACCCACAGAGAATCCACATATTGGATATATCCAATGTATTAAAATATAGCTGTGCCCTGGCCAGTGTGGCTCAGTTGGTTGGGCATCTCCTGTGAAGGGTTGCTGGTCTGATTCCTGGTTGGGGCACATGTTGGGTTGTGGGCTCGATTCCCTGTGGAGGGCATGCAGGGAGCAGCCCATTGAGGTTTTGCTCTCCCATAGATGTTTCTCTCTCTCTCTCTCTCTCTCTCTCTCCCTCTCCCTTCCTCTCTTTCTAAAAATCAATTTTAAAAATCTTTAAAAAATAAAATAACTGATTAATAGGCTCAAGAAATTAGATAATAAAATAAAAATTTAAATGACAAAATATTTAAATAAAAAATTTAGATGATTAAATAAAAATCAAGGACTTGGCTGAAAAGAGAATAAAATTGAACTATAATTTAAGTAATAAAAAAATACTCAGAATAAAGCACAGAGAGTAAAAGGAAAATACAGGAAAGAGAGTATGGACAGGATGAAAAGGTTTCAGATACATGTGTCTAAATTCCAATAAGAAGAGAACATAAAGAGTGGGGCAGAGGCAATGTTTGAAGAGATACTAACAAAATTTTGCCAGAAATGATAAGCAATATGAATCCATATATTTAAAAAGTGCTATGAACTATAGGAAGATAAGTATTTTAACAAATTACACCATCATAGTAAAACTGCTTAAATTCAACAACAAAGAGAAAATATTAAAATTAGCCAAAACAAAAGACATTTATGTGGGCAGGAAAGGATTACTCCAACATAATTCATCATAATCTGAGTAGGGCAGGGAGGAATTCTACACGTCATTAAATTTCAGCACAGGATGACAGAACCCAAATAATGAGGAGGGTGTCAACATAGAAGAGCATCTCAGATCCCAAGGAAAGGAGAGAGTACACATGGGTGAAGGGATGGCAGCAAAAGAAGTCAGTTGAGCCACACCAACCAGGCACATAAACATTTTTTAATGTTCCAATTTCCCAAAGAAACTCTTCCTGCAACTTTTCCTATTTTTTCAATTTTAATGAACTTATTTCAAAACATATTTTAATATAAAAGATCATAGATTTTGAAGTCAAAGAGTTTTAGGTTCAAACGCAAGCTCTGCCACTTCCTTGCTTTGTGATCTTCTGCAAGTTACTTTCATTGAACTTCAGTGCTCTCATCTGTAAAATGAAGATTATAATACCTACTTTGCTAAATTATAAGGTGGTTGTTTTGCTGAATTATAAGTTTGAAAGCTAACATTTGCTTTGCACATAGTGGATGCTTAATAAATGGTAACTATTATTACAGTTATTCATTATACTGGGCTTACATTCAGTGAAAAGCTAGCCTAGTGTTAGAGTTGGCACAAAGGCCAAAAATTGTTGATAAATTAATGATAATTCTGAATCCCACTATTTTAATCATGTTAAGTAATTAAAAAAAGCATTATAATTGCTTTGGGCATGAGAAATTTTAAAAACTGGGATGAAGGTAAACTAGGACAGATAGGTTTAGAGATGCAATTTTAATGTGTTCCTGGGGAAGTCTCTATTGCAATAAGAAAGATTCCTTTAATACTATGCAAACTAACTTCAGTTAGGAATTGTATTATCAAAATAATTGATAATACAACAAAACATGCCATTAAAAAGATCTAGCATACCTTAAGGTTAAGTGCATTTCTTCCATATATTTGACAGTTTACTATAGCCAGGTTGGTCATTGCTGCTATTGTTTCATATTGTGTTGCTGCAACAGTCTTAAAACCTTCACCACGAATAACTTTTGCCTCTGACTCAGCTCGTTTTCTAGGTTTAATAGTACCTAAATAAACAAAACAGTACATGAAACAAATGTGTTATCACTTAGAGTGAAATTTGAAAGAACTTATACTGGTGAATAGAGATAAGATGGACTCAGAGGAAAGAGCACTATTGTATACATGAAACTTTCTTTTTCATAAACTTAATGATGACCACAAAAAATCTAGAACTGAAACACCTAGCAACAAAAAATGAAATGGAGGAAAACATCATAAAAGATAGTCAAACTAAAACAAAAAAAAAAGAAACACAAGGGAAAAGAAACAATGGAGATACAGCAATACCAGAAAACAAAAATAAAATTAAAATCCTCATATATCAGTAATCACTCTCAATGAACTGAACTTACCAATTAAAAGGCACAGAGTAGTGGGCTGAATAAAAAACAAAACCCAGCTATATATCCTGCCTTCATGAGACACATCTCAGGTACGAAGACAAACATAGAACAAAGTGAAAGGATGGAAAATGATACTCCAATAAAATGGCTTCCAGGGAAAAGCAGGTGTAGCCATACTTACATCTGACAAAATACATTTCAAGATAAAAAGGGAATATGAGACAAAATTGGACATTTTGTAAAGATAAAGGGGACAATACATCAAGAAGAAATAACAGATATTGGAAGATGGTGGCCAGAAGGATGGCAGTGAGGAAGAGAGTGTGAGGAGTGAGGGAGAGAAAGGGGAGTGTGTGGATGTGGTCTGTGTGTGTGTGTGTGTGTGTGTGTGTGTGTGTGTGTGTGTATGTGTGTGTGACAGTTAGATCCTGCAGGACTTTCAGGGGCTGGTGGACCGGGCTCACCTAGCCAGGCAGCGTCCGCTATTACTGTAATCACTCCTGAGGAGACCAGCTTGGTTGCAGAGGCCACACCATCTTAAATAGGAGAGCTGTTTTGACTGGGAGCACAGCCTTACCTCCACCCAGAGTGCTCTCAGACACCACCAGGACCCTACAGTCACTCCGGCCAGGGACCTGCTGCTTTGGCTGCAGACCCACAGATACCAGGACTCAAGCCTACACAGCACCTGCCCAAGGAGCAGCCGTGGCCTGTGACAGCGTGAAAAACTGAAAGGAGATAAGAGACCAAGATGGCGGCATAGGTAAACACCAGAGTGCAACCACGCCACCCACCACCAAGCCTACCACTGCAGCCACAGGCCCTGTGTGACTCTACACCTAGATCCTTCGGTGAGAGCAAAAAATGGGGAGACAGGAGAATAACCCCCAAAGAAAAGAAAAACAGGAATTGCCAGAAAAGGAACTAAATGAAACAGAGGTATGAAAAATGTCAGAAAAAAGAATTCAGCATAAGGGTCATACAATTCATAAACCAGCCAGATGAGAAAATCAACAACCTATGCAAGAATCAAGAGGAAATAAAGAGTGATATAGGTACAGTAAAAAACACTATGGAAGCTTTCAAAAGTAGACTAAGGAAGCGGAGGACCAAATTAGCGAATTAGAAGACTGGGAAGCAAAACACACCCAATCTGAACTGCAATTGGAGAAAAAAAAATCAAAAGACAGGAGGAGAGCCTGAGGGAGCTTTGGGACAACATGAAATGAAGCAACATACGTATTATAGGGGTGCCAGAATGACAAGAATAAGAGCAAGGGCTAGAAAATCTATTCAAAGAAATAATGTCAGAAAACTTCCCTGACTTGGAGAAGAAAAAATTCACACAAGCACAGAGAGTCCCAAACAAGATAATCCAAAAAGACCCATACTGAGACACATCATAATTACCATGGCAAATGTTCAGGACAAAGAGAGAATCTTAAAGGCTGCAAGAAAGAGACAGAAAGTTACCTACAAGTGAACTCCCATTAGACTATCAAATGATTTCTCAACAAAAACATATTAGGCCATAAAGGAATGGAAGAAAGTATATAAAGTGATGCAAAGAAAGGGACTGAACCCAAGAATACTCTATCTAGCAAGGCTATCATTCAAAATTGAAGGGGAAATCAGGAGCTTCACAGTCTAAGAAAGGCTAAGGGAGTTTATCACTACCAAGCCAGCAAGGCAAGAAATTCTAAAGCAACTGTTGTCAAAAGAAGAAAAAAAAGGGGTCAGAGGAGAAGAAGAAACACAGGCACAAAAAATAAAAATGGCTACAAACAAGTACCTATCAATAATAACTTTAAATGTAAATGGATTAAATGCTCTGATTGAAAGACAGTGAGTGGCTGAATGGATAAGAAAACATAACCCATATATTTGCTGTCTAAAGAGACCCTCCTCAGAACAAGAGACTCATACAGACTGAAAATGAAGGGATGGAAAAATATTTTCCAGGCAAATGGGAATGAAAAAAACACCTGTGGTAGCAATACTTAATCTGACAAAACAGACCTCAAAATGAAGGCCATAACAAGAGATAAAGAAGGCCACTTCATAATACTAAATGGATTGATACAAGAAGAGGATATAACCTTGGTAAACATATATGCACCCAATGCAGGAGCACCCAAATACATTAAAAAAAAACTTCTGGAAGATATCAAGGGAGAGATCGACAGCAATACAATAATAGAAGGGGCCTTTAATACAAAATTGACATCACTAGATAAATCCTCTAGACAAAAATCAGCAAAGAAACAGCAATCTTAAATTACTCACTAGATTAGTTGGACTTAATGGACATCTTCAAAACATTTCACACCAAAGCTACAGAATATACATTCTTCTCAAGTGAACATGGAACATTTTCAAAGATAGACCACATACTGGGTCACAGGCAAAGTCTCTCCAAATTCAAGAAGATTAAAATCATATCAAGCATCTTCTCAGATCACAATGGCATAATATTAGAAATCAACAACAATAAAAACAATAAAAAAATTCAAACACTGGAGACTGAATAGCATGCTATTACACAATGATTGGGTTACCAAAAAGGTCAAATAAGGAATTAAAAACATTCTGGAAACTAATGACAATGAAAACACAACAATCCAACACCTATGGGACACAGTGAAAGCAATCCTGAGAGCAAAGTTCATAGCATTACAGGCCTACCTAAAAAAAAAAAAATAATAAAAAAGAAAGAAAAACTGGTAATAAATTATCTAACTCTACAACTTAAAGAATTAGAAAGACAGCAACAAGAAAAGCCCAGAGTGAGCAAAAGGAATGGGATGATAATGATCAGAGCAGAAATAAATGAAATCGAGACCAAAACACACACACACACACACACACACACACACACACACACACAAACAAAAGATCAATGAAACCAAAACCTGGTTTTTTGAAAGAATATACAAGATTGATGAACCTCTAGACAGGCTCACAAAGAAGCAGAGAGAGAACCCAAATAAACAAAATCAAAAATGAAAGAGGTGAAATAACAACAGACCCCACAGAAATACAAAGGATTGTAAAAAAATAAGATGAACATCTCTAGTCCAACAAACTAAACAACCTAGAAGAAATGGACATATTCCTTTAAAAATACAACCTTCCAAAACTCAATCAAGAAAAATTTAAAAATGTCAACAGGCCAATAACTAAGGAGGAAATTGAAGCAGTCGTCAAAAATCTTCTAGCAAACAAAAGCCTGGACCAAACGGCTTCAGGGGAGTTTTACCAAACATTCAAAGAAGAACTAAAACCTGTCCTTCTCAGACTATTCTAAAAAATTCAAGAGGAAGGCACACTTCCAAGATCTTTCTATGAAGCCAGCATTACCCTAATCATAAAACCAAATAAATACACTACAAAGAAAGAGAATTATAGGCCAATATCCCAAATGAACACTAATGCCAAAATCCTCAACAAAATTCTAGCAAATCGGATTCAGCATTACATTAGAAAGATCATACACCATGACCAATAATAAATTATCTACAACTTAAAGAATTAGAAAGACAGCAACAAGAAAAGCCCAGAGTGAGCAAAAGGAATGGGATGATAATGATCAGAGCAGAAATAAATGAAATCGAGACCAAAACACACACACACACACACACACACACACACACACACACACACACACACACA